ACACACACACACACACACACACACACACACACACACACACACACACACACACACACACACACACACGAGACAAAAACAGCTGTGTTGAACTTGAACTTTCTATTCCAAGTGAACAGACAGCATTAAGACACTGTAAAAAAAAAAAGAGCCAAGCTTCAAATAAGGAAAACATTACAAAGAAAAGGTCAAACCATTTGTTCATGTTCACAGTTGGTTATCARCAGGAAAAAGTGCAGTCTTTTTACAAATCTTTATGCAGATTTGGTGCCTGAGATGCCTTGAAATGTACAAAAACAACTTAAATAATCAAATCTTTMTAGAGAAATTATTTTCTCACCAGCTACTGGTAACAAAATCCTTAGAACATCATAAAAAACATTGAAAATATAAATAAAAACAGCCTCTTATTAGTTCCATTTCAAACTTCACTTTTTAAAAATAAATTTATATAAATAAGATTGGCAAAATCTGCACTATAATTTGAAATGTAACCTTTTTTCCTTTTTGGTTGCTGAGAAATAGGCTCCTAAATCCTCAGGTGGGTGCTTTTTAAATTATTTCAGCCTCAAATGTTTAAAATATAGACGTTACTCAAAGCTGCAGCTCTGATTTCATTTCCTTGGTTTCTACAGGTCAGTCTCGTTGAAACAGGCTGTGCTGCATCCTTCGAAGACTGAATCTAAAGGCCGATTATGTCACAGTGACGTGTCGAAGGCTGTYCAAATTCGAAGGATCCTCCATTTGGGCCCACAAATGAGCTCCTATTTCCCTGATTTGAGTTACTGGGCAGAAGGAGTATCCTGCTCAGCCCATCCTATCCTAATGGTACGTTCACACCGAATGCGTTTTGAGCTGCAGGAGCAGCCMGTTTACATGCAAAGTCCATGGTGAACACRMCTCTAGGGGTCTTGCGGCGCATCAGGACCATTTAGCGCGGCGCGTAAGGAACACGGAAGGTGTGGCAGAGCATTCTCCGTGMATGCGGTGCAGCGAAAGCAGCCGACGCTCGAGTTCAAAAATCTGATCTTTCGCKGCTCGACGTGTCTTGACAACCAATCAGAGAGACTCATTTTTCCACGTGACAGTTTTCTCAATGTTGCACACAAACAGATGAACAGGAGCTCTTTMGCTGAAATCGACCGTCTGTCGTTGATGTTCTGGCTGGARATAYTAGCACCGATGTGGGTCAGCAGCTCGTTAAACTGACCGCGGTGTTAAACTGGGCTCAGGACGAAAAATAGTCTGTCAGCTCGCAGCTCCTGGAGTGGTGAAACTAACCGTACAAACTACCTCTAAATCATCTGGTAAATTAATTATCTGGTGTGCGCAAAGTTTGCTTGCTCTTTAGTAAATAAAGCAAAGCCATTTTCTTTATTTTATCTTTATTTCATCTGCCAAAGACAGACYGGAAAAAAAATCAAGACGCTCCTCCCTCTTCAGACGCGCGTCTAGTTTGTGTCCCGGTCTGAACATAGTGCGTCCAACTGGAGGCGYTGGGCACTTTTTTGCTGCTCAAAACRTGTTCAGTATGAACGYAGCATTAGACGCATTGCGGCCCGACAATGAGATTAAAGTTTAAAGTGGTTATGTTGTTTGCCACTTTTAACATAYTATTCTTATCAGAAATCATTGTAAACCAGCTCATATGGCAAGTCCYTTAGTTCTTCATGGTTTGCCTCTAAGCTAATTCTGTTACTTTATAATACTAACATTGTTAATTTTGCTCTATTTTCAATAGATCAGGACAGGACATACACCAGGGCAAGGGGTGGGRGGGATAAAGCTAGACTGTCCAATTTCAATAACATAGATGTTTGTGGTTGACAAAGGACCACGTAGACCAGCTAGGCCATGTCCTTTGAAGGACTCAGCCCCTGAATTTAGACACAACCACAATTGTCTCTTTGGTGACAGACTTACTATGTAGAAATAAAACCATCAATAAATAATTTGATAATCTAATATATTGCCCCAAGTTCTTTCATGTTTGATTTTGTTCCTCCATATTCGACACGGACTTGTGAGCGGAGCTTTGTGGCTCGTTTGCATGGATCCGCTTGTGTTTATTCAGCTTAGACCAGGTGGAGAACTGGTCCGCACAGACGACACACTTGTAAGGCTTCTCGCCTGTGTGCATCCTCATGTGACCCTTCAAGTCTGTTTTGTGACCAAAGTTCTTCTCGCACACCGTGCACTTGTACGGCTTCTCGCCCGTGTGAGTTCTGGTGTGCCTCTTCAAAGTGGTCCTGGTGGCGAACTTCCTCTTGCAGTAGGTGCACTTGAAGGGCTTCTCCCCCGTGTGTACCCGCAGGTGGTTTTTGAAAGCGGAGGAATCTGCGAACTCCTTGCCGCAGTCTTTGCACGTGTAGGGCTTCTCGCCCGTGTGGATCCTCGTGTGCTTCTTCATGTTCACGCACGAGCTGAAGCTCTTCCCGCACGTGTCGCACTTGTAGGGCTTTTCGCCTGTGTGCACCCGGACGTGAAGGTCCAGGTTGTAGCGCCGGTTGAATCCGTTGCCGCAGATGTCRCATTTGAAAGGCTTCTCGACGGAGTGGATCACCAGATGCTTGTTCAGATCCCAGCTCTCGCGGAACATCTTCCCACACGTGTCGCATTTGAAGGTCTTTGCAACGGTGTGGGATTTCATGTGAAATTTGTAGTTCTTGAAATTGGACATGACTTTGCCACACGTGTCACACTTGAAGGGATTTTCCCTTTCCTCTGCACTGTCGCCTGAAGCGTCATCGCTCTGCTTGGGCGATGGCTCAGGACCTTTAGGTGATTCTGTGCTGTCTTTCTCCAGTATGTTTTCTTCATTACTTTTTGTTGATGTAAGGCTTTCACTTTTAGGTCTCTTCTTTTGTTCTGAGTCACTACTTTGACCCTCATTTTGCCTCTTGCCTGATGTTCCTTCTTCACTCTTTGAAGCGGCACCAGCTTTCTGTTTTAAGGACAACTCCTTGCTTTTACTTGACGTTTGGCTTTGATCACTTGCTTTATGTTTTCCTTTGGAAGTTGAGGCTTTTTTCCTATCACTAAGTCTCCTAACGGGTGTTTTTGTGCTTTCTGATGTTTCCTCTTTAACATTTGCCCTCCGTGTCGACTCACTGTTTCCAGTTGAAGCTGTGTTCCCAGGACTGGGCTTCTTGCCTTGTGTTTGTTTTGAAACTGACGAAGTTGTTGCTTTCTCCTCTACCTGCATCTCATCTGAACTTCCCTCAGATGGTTCCCACGTTGCGTCATTTGGGTCATCGCCGCTCGTAGAGGCTGAATGCACTATCGAACGTGTGCCGTCATCATTGTGTTTCTTGTGTGACCTCAGTCTGGAMCGTGATGCTTTTTCATCTTTTGGCTTTGTTTTTGCTGTTAAATCAGAAATCCTTTTTGACCTCTTCTCAACTTTAGGTTTCTTTTTAGGTCCAAGTTTAGTTTTTTTAAATGACGTTGCAGCAACTTCGCTGCTTGGTAAATCTTTACTTGCAGTAGTYGGGGTCTCATCGCCCTCCTCCTGCGGCGGTGCCTCAAGGCGTTCAGTAGAACTTGGATCTTGACATTTTATGAGCGATGCCGGCTCATTGTTTGTGACTAACGTTGTGTCCTTATCACTCGTCTCAATCCGAGCTGCCTCCAAACTTTCAGTTAAATCACATTTCCTATCTTGACTTGTTTCATTTGATGTTGTATTTGAGGTTGACACTGGTCTCCCAGCTTGACTTTCCTCAGATTGAGTTGGCTCAACACTTCTTGGTAAGGCTGATTTCTCATCTTTAATCTGGTTGTTTCCTTCAGACTGGGTGGCTTTTGATTGATGCGTTACCACTTCTCTCTGTTGCTCATTGTCTGTTCTTGATGCTGCGCTGTCTATCTGCGTTAGTTCATTACTACTGGCCCAGTTTGTGTTTTCAGCATTACTTTCCTCCAGCTGCAATGGCTCTGTAACRCTGACTGGTGTCGTCTTTGAGTCATCACAGTTCTCATCTAAAAAGCACTCAGTGGCCACTTGTAAYGCTGTGCTCTCATTATCWTTTATCTGATCTGGCAATTCATCARAGCATTCAGCAAAAAGTATGTTTTCTGCTGATGTTTCCACGGGTTTCACAGCAGCACTCTTCTCATTGACGGACGCCTCAACATGCACGGGTGCACCGTCATTGTWATCAGCTGCGTGTCGTTGAATCTCAGCTTCACGTGAGATTTCATGGAGTGTCTGGTCACTGTGTGCTGCTGAAGCAGCAGATATCACCGTGTCAGGTTCAGGTTCTCCATCTTTGTTTGAAATGTGAGGTGGAGAAGGAGTATTTGCTGAACCCTGCTGGTCAAGGTCCAAAGGCTGAGGGTGATCAACAGAGACATCTGGATCATAAGTTGTCGTCTGCTGCTGTTGATTCTGCAGTCGCTCCTCGCTGATGCACATTTCTTCATGTTCATCTTTAATTTTTGTAATATCGGCCAGAAATTTGGACCTTGACTCATTGTTACTGGTCTGGTTCAGCTGAGACTGTTCTTCACTGAGAAGTAATTCTGAAGAGAAAAAAAAAACAGGTGATGAGAATGTTTGATCCAATTTGCAATAGTTAAAAAGCTAAATTAAAAAGGAAAATTATCCTTGGTTTCAAAGTTTATTTACTTATCAGTCCATTAACTAAAGACTAAAAGTGTTAACAGCCATAAAACTGCCATTCTAATGTACAAACTAAAATTTAGTATGAATCTTGKCTTGTTGCTGAGCTTTATTAATAACAGCGACTTTGAATATGAACTGTATTCTCTTTATATTTTAATAACTTTTAAAAATTACCCTAAACACTAATAGTGGAGAGGAGGGTCTGTCGGATAGTCGAATATTGGATTCAGGAAGAGCAGTGTGGTTTTCTTCCTGGTCGTGGAACAGTGGACCAGCTCTACACCCCCAGCAGGGTCCTGGAGGGTGCGTGGGAGTTCGCCCAACCAGTCCACGTGTGTTTTGTGGACTTGGAGAAGRCGTTCGACCGTGTCCCTCGGGGACTCCTGTGGGGAGTACTCYGGGAGTATGGGGTTCCAGGCCCATTGATACGGGCTGTTAGGTCCCTGTATGACCGGTGCCAGAGCTTGGTCCGCATCGCCTGTAGTAAGTCGGACTCGTTTCCGGTGAGAGTTGGACTCCGCCAAGGCTGCCCTTTGTCACCGATTCTGTTCATTACTTTCATGGACAGAATTTCTAGGAGCAGCCAAGGTGTTGAGAGGGTCCTTTTTTGGTGGCCTTAGGATCACATCTCTGCTTTTTGTGGATGATGTGGTCCTATTGGCTTCATCAGATCATGGTCTCCAGCTCTCACTGGAGCAGTTAGCAGCCGAGTGTGAAGTGGCCGGGATGAGGATCAGTGCCTCCAAATCCGAGACCATGTTCTTGAGTCGGAAAATGGTAGCGTGCCGCCTCCGGGTCAAGGAGGAGGTCCAGCCCCAAGTGGAGGAGTTTAAGTATCTCGGGTTCTTGTTCATGAATGAGGGAAGAATGGAGCGGGAGATCGACAGGTGGATTGGTGCTGCGTCTGCAGTGATGCGGGCGCTGTACCGGTCTGTTGTGGTGAAGTGAGAACTGAGCCAGAAGGCGAAGCTCTCGATTTACCAGTTGGTCTACGTTCCTACAATACAAGTGACTCAAATGGGTTTCCTTCGCAGGGTGTCTGGGCTCTCCCTTAGAGATAGGGTGAGAAGCTCAGTCATCCGGGAGGGACTCAGAGT